TGTCCCCAACACCCCCTGGGGCATCCCCGTGTCCCCAACATCCCTTGAGGCATCCCAGTGCCCCTTCCACTGCAACCCAGTGTCCCCAACAGCTCCTCAGGGCATCCCATTGTCCTCAACAGCCCCCAGCGCATCCCAGAGTCCTCTGCAACCCCCCAATGCATCCCACTGTCCCTTCCATTGCATTCCAGTGTCCCAAGCAGCCCCCCAGGGCATCCCAGTGTCCCCAACACCTCTCCGGGGTCCCCCCCAGGGCATCCCAGGGTCCCCCACATCCCCTCCCAGTGCATCCTAGTGTCTCTCCCACTGCATACCCATGTCCCCTCCAAGGCATCCCTGTATTCCCAGTTTTCCCCACTGTGCCCCAGCATCCCCCCAATGCACCCCAGGATCCCCAGCACCCCCCTCCCCTGCATCCCAGTCTTCCTCAGTGCATCCCATACCCCTAGGTTCCTGCAGAGAATCCCGTGTCCTCACTGTCCCTCCAGTGCCTCCCAGTGCCCTCTGGTGGCCCCTCTGTGTCCCCGTTCCCTGCAGTGCCAAGAACCCCCCTTGCCACCCAGTGCCTCCCTCTTCCTCCCCCCTCCTCTGAGTGCCACAGTGACATCCCGCTGCCCCCAGTACCTCAATGACCCCCCTTCCTCCCCCAAAATGTTTTTGATTCTTGAATTTTTCCTTCTAAAAGCTGTTCTGTGGCCTCAGTTTCCAAACAGTAAAGGGCAACCACTTCGGTGTCCGTATCAAATAAGAAGCATTTTTGTTGTATGCGCAGGTTTAATGCAGCCCATTGCAACCTCCTGCCTTTTCTTTCTGATAAGCAGTTCTCCAAAGAACCCATGTCTTAGACTCCAACCAACCACATCACACTCAAAGCTAACAAGTTTTATGATATTTAAGAACATGTAGTCATACTGTTCACTCACCTGTCTTGGATAACTAGGTAAAATCCCCGTCTTGCAACAGCTTTGCTTAACTTAAAACCAAAATAAAATAAAAAATAAGAAGACAGAAAAGTAAAAGCAGCTGGTAAACACACTCAGGGACTAGTCTTTCTTCTCTTCTCTCTTCAAAGGGAACTCCAGAGAAAGCAAACGGAGAAAAACGAATGGTCCTTTATTAGGTTGTGCGTTGGGTTGACTTGTCCAAGCAGACAGACTGGAAGCAAGGAAGGGGATGCAAAAGAGAGTTTTGTTAGGGGAGGAGAAAAGTAGGAAGAGAAGCAGAAACAAATGAGAAGGTTTCTTTAAACAAAAAGCACACACACAAAAAAGTAGCAGAGCTGGAGCAGACAAGTTCTGCCCATTTTAAGGTGGTGTCCCCAGGGCGCCGTCTTTATGGCGGCGCCGGCCCAGGAGGGCCCCGGCGCAGCCAATGCGCGGGCGGCCAACGCGCCGGCTCCTCCTCCGCGCGGCCCCGCGTCCGGCGAGCCAGGGACGCG